CCCAACTAAACAAACTCCCACACTTATGTATTGGCAAATAAATTCTTTAGCTTTATTATGAGAAAATGATCCAGACACTTACACAATATTTGCATTATACCAGTGTGGGTTTTCCTCTGCTTGAGAAGATAATAATCCAGTTCCTGGAAGAGATCCAAACCAATTATTAGACCTGTTTTCTAAAGAAAGTTAGATCAGAGAAACATGTAGAGCATGCATTCTTCAACACGACTGACCTGTTTTAGTCTGGGGCCACCCCGCTGAGCTCATGAGTCGGGGGATATTTTGGTACCTGGAATCACAGGTCTCTTTGCTGTAGCAGCACCAGCCTCCTAAAAATAATAGAGACTAAAATTAGACTTTCAGAAAGGGGAGAGGAACACCCTGGTTAGCACATTTGACCTGTGAGGGGAGAAAAAAAAGAACGAGAAGATGAGCGCACCTGTGACCTGTAACCCTTCATTCAGTTTCCAGTTGTGCCTAAACTGATGCTTTTTGTAAAGGTTTTTATTATTCTTATGCTATATTATCATGTGTTTAAATAAAATGAGTTCAATTGGGTTCAGCTGCTCAAATACCGCAGGTAAAATGCATCATGCAAAACATTTCAGTCAATCATGGCGACAAAACCTGCAGGTTTCCTCGATTTCTGGCATCAAGAAGACGTAAAGCATCCAAAAAAGGAGAAACTCATGATGACATCCCATCAAAATTCCAAAGGGGGCATCATCCCAAAAGCATTTGACCTTTGGGGCCCAATTTAACCAGTTTGTAAATACTCGCCTTCCAGAAATAACAGCCATCTGCGGCTTCCTCTGAACTCCTTTAGGTAGAACCTGAATAAGCACAAAAACAGATTGGGAGAAGCTGAAGAAGAAAAGAAGGCAGCTATAAGGAACTAATGAGGGCTTTTAGATATCAAAAACAAAACAAAAGCCTGTGAGAGGTCTCACCCAGCTGCCGTCCCATCGTTGCAGGTTACTTGGATGTTCCGGAGGAAGTGGAGCCTCATGTCGTCCGTCTGTTGTCCAGGTGCGCGGGCTCCTGCAGCGCCCTCCTGCCCCTGCTCAGCTGGCCTTCCTGTGCTCCTGCTGCTCCCAGGGGTCACATCAGCAGCGGGGGTGGGCTGGCCAGCATCACCTGCCTTGGTCCCGCCGGTTTTCTTCGAAGACTTGCCACCTRCTTTGGCATTGCGACTGTTCTGAGCCCAGATGCCTCCGAGCAAAAGGAAGAGTGCAATCTGGCCGAGTATGTTCATGTCTAAAGAAACAAATGAAGACATCTGAAAAACTGTTTTTACATTCAAACCTTCTCTTCCACCCTTTGGTTGAACTTACCTTCCCAGAAGAACCWGTAGAAGAAGTGGTGCTGCTGCTGAGGAGAGAAGGAGAAGCTCAAAGGGGCAGAAGGATGTCACTCAGGATGAGTGATGAAGTCTGGTCTAAGTTTTGATGAAATCAGTGATGAGCTTTATAGTGCCACCATTTGGATCAGATTTCTTGTTTTTCTTTTTTTTTCCTCCAGCAGCTTCTGAGAGATAATCTGCTGACGAAACACCACGAGGGGAGGTCCTGGATGGACAGTGGCGAGGAGAATAGATAGCAAACATACTCTTCAACACATTTGCAGCTTCTGCACACGCCCACCTCTAAGCATTTCACCAGCTGACCAAAAAATGAGCCCTTTTTGCTGCCATCATTTCTCATCTTCTTMTTTTTTTATTTTAGTTTTCTCCTCCTGCGATCACCGGTTGTTGTTGTTTTTTTTAATATACTTTGACAGGATAAATGCACCGCTGCTTTGCATGGTATGTGACCCGGGGGTCATTGGAGCACACACCTCGAACACTTTCCGACACACGAAGGAGTCATACCAGAAATTTCATGCATTGTCCACAATTCAGTGAACACTTTAACATGACAGGTGGTGGAAACTTTCATTGGTTGTGGCTGCAGGCGTTTAAAGATTTTTCTCTTTCCTAAACGACAATTATAGAAATTTGTTGCAACTTTCAGAGGCCTAGGGAAATAAATGCATTCAGAATGAATATAAAAAAAAATCAATATGACTCTCAGGAAATACATATTTTTGTTTGTAAAAATTACAGTATAACCACAATTACATTAAACATACAGTCTAAAATACCATGATCCTAGTTCAACTTTTATTTACTTTATGCTTTTCATCTTATAAAGCACTTTGAATTGTCTTGTTGAGGAAATGTCTTATAAAAAACTTGCCTTGTGTTGTAAGTTGTTTTCTTACCTAAAATAAATTCTCATGTTTCACATAAATTACCATAAAATTGTATGGAACTGACCACTACAAAACAAACAAACAAACAAACAAAAATGTAATAAACAGAAATTACTTGGTGCTGTTTTAGGTACAATTTCAGGTTTTCTTTTGAAATAATGCCCAAAGGCTGTTGATCAGATTTATTTTCAACACTTCTTTGTGCAAATATTTTTACTTTTACTTCTTTCCATAAAACTAGATGTGAGCTCTAAAGATGCAGATCAAATTCAGACTGAAATGATTTCTGATTTAAAGCTTTAAATGCTGCAGGAGATGAGAATGGAAGGTTTGGTGAAATGGTCAGCGAGGCATCTTTTACCTGCAGCTGCATCGCAGATCAGGTCAGCGTCTGCAGGTTAGTTTTGTTCGCCGATGGTGGTGAAAGAGTCCGAATATTTGAAAGTGATCTGTAACCCCCCCAACCCCTTCAGATGGCTTTAGGGTGACATACCAATGATTACTGAACGATCACAAGCCACAGGGCTCTAAAATTCTCATCAATGAAATGCACACCATCCCATATGTCAGTCATAGAAAATAATGATGGTTTGCAAGGGCAGAGGCTACAGGAGGGTGTGTGTGTGTGTGTGKGGGGGGGGGGGGGTTTGCTGCGTCCTTAAAAGGTTTAGTTATGTTTCTGTAAAACTGGCAGAGTTGTAGTCATCTTTGTGTTTGCTGATTTTGATTAGCTGTGGTATCCATTGGTCAGTTGTAGAGGTCCAAGCAGTAGTTATTTCCTGAACATTTTATTAAAGGGATCCCAGATGACTTTATTTGATAAACATATATTTTAACTGTAAAATAAAGACTGTAAAATACTGTAGGCTGTTCAGTTTTTTACACAGACGGAGCCATTGTATTTACAGGCAAAGCATTCTGGTAAATGACGACATGGATAGGTCCTCGGTGCGAGGCTGCTAGCGAGCTATATCCACCCTGAAGGTTAATCTTGGACAATATCTGATGATCGACTCTTTTAAATGAAACCAGAGAGCGTTGACAGAGAGGAGAAGGTAGAAATGACTCAGCCTGGAACTGAAAATATGGATGGAGGACAACAGAGCTGCTTCATGGAAGAACAACCTCAGCTTAGCTTGTTTGTCGCTCGGCGCTGGCGCAGAGGCTACGCTGAGTTTGTTCTTCCATGAAGCAGCTCTGTTGTCCTCCATCCATATTTTCAGTTCCAGGCTGAGTCATTTCTACCTTCTCCTCTCTGTCAACGCTCTCTGGTTTCATTTAAAAGAGTCKATCATCAGATATTGTCCAAGATTAACCTTCAGGGTGGATATAGCTCGCACACTGAGGACCTATCCACGTCATCATTTACCCAGAATGCTTTGTGTGTAAATAAAATAGTTCCSTCCGTGTTAAAATATGTTTTTAAAAATTTACAACAGCCTATTTTACAGTCTTTATTTTACAATTAAAATAAATGTTTATCAAATAAAGTCTAATGTTACAACTAATCATGGATCCCTTTAAATATGTTCAGGGGTGATGACAGACAAGTAAACTCAAACACACGGGCAAAAATATTAWTACCTTTTGCTCTCAGCAGCAGGTGATAAATATTATATTACACGTAAAAGATTGTTTCTTATTGCTTCAGTGTGATAGAAAAAATTTTTTGTCTCATTTTCAAGCATCTTGTACTATTTCATCGACTTTTAACTGTGTCCAGAAAGAACCTGAAAAATGTCTGAGAGCCTATACACCYACGCACAATAAAACTGTGTCCAAGGCCTATAGCAAATTTGATCTACTGAGCTGAACAATTCTTCATTCCTGCAGTTGTCCTGAAAGCATGCACTCCACCATCTGTCTTCTCAGAAATCAATGCAACAATCTGTTTAACAGATACCTCAAATAGCTGAAAAACCAAAGACTTTGCTGTAAATCTAYCATCGTTTCGCCAGAATGTTGACAGAGAAATGGCACTGCTGCTATTTTGTTTTTCTTTGATATCGGACTGGACAGAATGATAAGTTTTTCGGGGCAGGCTTCAGTTCAGTGGATTAAGGTGCATTTGTTTTCATATATTTCAACTGGTCAAACGCTGTCTTTAAAGTTAGCTTTTCACAGGTAAAGAAAGACCTGCCGTTCAGCGTTGGAATGCATGTCACCCACTACAGTTAATTTCAGAGTCTCAGATCATCTTATGTTGAAAAATGACAAAGTTTTAGCCGTTTTGATAAAACCTTAAAAAATTAAAAATATATATTTGCATGATCTGTCAAGCTCTGTATTGATTGTGAAGAAAAGCCAGCCACTGTCRCTCTTAATTTTTGATCAAAAACCGCACAACTTTAGCTGTTTTGTTTTGTTTTTTACCCTCCTGCAGCCCTCGGGTCAAAATGAACCACRAGCTCAGTTGTAGTCACAATTTCAAGCTTTATCCCAATTCATTCATTGATTCATGAAATCTAAACTGTTAAACTCACAGAGATGGGAGAGAGTAAACCAGAAAATGATCCACCCCAGAACTGACCCGACACACCTCAGAGGTCTGTTCCGTTTGCCTCGTTGCTTTTGAAAAACAAAAGTTTTGGCATAAATCATAAGGGGCTCATGAGACTCGCTGAACTTCACCCTGATGGGGCAGCGCTCTGACCCCTTGTGCAACATGTAAAGCATTCCTTTTACCTTGTGTTGTTATTTTTCACAGCTAGCCTCCAAGGTCAGGACACCTAAAGCCCGGGTGGTCCGGGGCTCTTTGTCTGTTGAGCATGTGTCATCACYGGCCTCAGGAGCCGGGGGCTCGGCCCTGAGCTGGAAGATTTGTCAACTAATAACTTCAATGCTTCTGCTAGATTCTTACGTTCTTCATACATCACAGAGAAATCATGAGCTTCAAGTCTCCAAGAGCCATCTGATCAATGAAGTTTGGTTTTAATAGAACAATAACTGAACTGAAACTATGTGTTGTCCCAACTAAAATATCAAAACCTCTTACAGGACTGTGATCAAATCATCATTATGTTGCAAGTAATTTGACAATCTGTGAGAGCGTCGCTCTGAATCTGCGATGTCACCAGCAGCCGAGGGCATAACTGAGAAAACAGGCCTGTGATTAACCGGAGATGAGAGTGGCATCTTCGCGAGCCGTGTGAAAACAAGCCTCGGGCGAGAGATGTGAGGCCTGAGTCGAATAACTGCGCCGGAGCTCAACAGTCAATCAGGGAGCCTGACAGACAGTCTTAGCGGGATCGGTGTAACGTGCTGGGCCACGGCGGTAGGCCAGCAGGTGGTGTGGAATAAACCATCCCTTAAAACCAGGTGTTCAGAGGCCTTCTGCTGGCTGCCAATGCATCACAGTGATAAATGGAGGAGGGGTCGACAGCAGGGATACAAGCATTCTGTGAGTTGTAAGTAGCGGATCTGTGTGTGTCAGTGTGTGTGTGTTTGTGTGTGTATAATGTATAGAAGAAGAAGGGCGATGAAAGCGTTCTGTGCACTCGTTTTGCTGAAACCCTTACAACCAAACGGGAGCTCTGTCCATCGAACCGGCATGCCACGCGCATCTCCATCCAGGGAAACTATGTCCAATGTTGAGCGTAAATGTCACACCTGCAGGATCAGTGATGCAAACGGAACAAACTGTGACCTGCAACAACCATTTTCAACTCCTGCMAAGGAAAGAAATTGAGCAAATTTAAAATGACCTGCATAAACAGTAGGAACGAAGATAATGTGAGCAGAACTCAAGCTAAAAGTGGCAGAACAGTAGCTAAAATGAGCAAAACAGAGGCTAAAATAAACAAACATGCAGCCAAAGTTAAGTGCAGTTGTATTTTTATAAAAAAAATTGCTTTAAGTGTGTGTGACATGCATAATTTTCAAATACATAAAGTAAAAATAAAGCTAATAGCCTAATACACGCAGTTTTCCCCATTTTGTCCCATGACCAGTGTTGTTTAAAGTACCTCAAAGTGATACTTGAGTAAAAGTACAAGTATCTTATCATAAAAATACTTTGGTAAAAGTTAGTCTTCTTTAAAAAWTATTACTTGAGTAAAAGTACAAGTATCTTATCATAAAAATACTTTGGTAAAAGTTAGTCTTCTTTAAAAATATTACTTGAGTAAAAGTCGTAAAGTATCTGATATTTTTTGTACTTAAGTATCAAAAGTACGTTTGACACAAAATGAACTTAAGTATTAAAAGTAAAAGTACTGAGTAAAAGTGAGCAGTTAGATTTTCCAAAWTGACATTTATTGGGAGGTGACTTCTCCAAAAACATTTTTTCTAACAGTGTGCAGCTATGATGGACTGTGTACAAAGTTATACTATTTCAGAGTGGTATATATTTATTCTTCTCATTCAACCACAATTAAATTCACTCTATCCAGTAGACACAATTTATTAGGATAGTATTTTTTAAGTAATAACAACTCAGAATAAAATAGGAGTAACGACTTTCTACTTCTTACCTTTTTAAAAAAATGTAAGGAGTAGAAAGTACGGATCATTGTGTAAAAATGTAATGAGTAAAAGTAAAAAGTACGCTGAAAAATAATTACTCAAGTAAAGTACAGATAACCAAAATTTCTACTTAAGTACAGTAACAAAGTATTTGTACTTAGTTACTTTATATCTCTGCCCATAACTGGCATATTTTAGGGCTCAGCCAATGTGAAACAGGAAGTGACATCAAAGAGGAACTGTTTAAGAAAAGGAACTCCCTGATCTTTGTTCATCAAAACATTATTATTGGAATTCTAACCTTCTTCATCTCTCCAATAGTGATTCAAAATAATCTAAAGAAACATCWGATTTTTCTATAGTCTTTTCTGTAGCAAAGCTCTGCTCACATGCAGACATTCCCCTTTGACATCACTTCCTGTTACTTCACATGTGAACATCTCAAAAAGCGATGTATTTTTTGTTGCTATATGTTATTAATGTTATCTCTCCAAAACTGAAATCATATTTACTACAAATGTTTGATGTGACAGGCACTTTAAAGTTAAAATTCACTCCCTGATTTCATTATCATGTGAAAACACAATGAACTCGCTGAAATTTAAAGTTTTACACAGATAAACCTTCCTAGAAGACTGACCTTGGTTTGTGCGTGTTGTTGTTTTTCTTTCTTTCTGCAGAGCAGTTGGTGGATGTCYCTGCATGACAGACCATAAATCTGAGATTCCAGCTGAAGTGATGTCAGCCCTTTACATCATGTGTTGTCACTTCAAGCTATGAAGACATGTGGACACGTGGTCCCTCTCTCAGCTACAAACGCCTCAGAGTTTTATCTCCGGCTCGGTCGCACGACTGCAACATATGTGCAAGTGTTTGAGCTCTTTGACTTTAATCTTTGAAAGTGAATAAAATGATAAAATGCATYAAACTGAGCTGAGCCACTGTGTGCTGGAGAGTAATGTAAAGCATGCAGTGACATCACACCACAGGTATTTTTATGTAAAGACATACCAAAGAAGAGTAAAAATGTTTACTATTTATAGAGGGTGGTTGTGTTTTTTTTTCTCAATCCTTTTTGCTGCATGTGAAAAAAATGACCTGAATAACAAAAAATTAAAAGCTCAACAGACTCACCTTGATCTTATAGTTCATGAATTGACCATAAATGAACTGAGTYATTTTTGTCTCTTAAAAATGATTTTACAAAAAAGAAAAGCAAAGGATCACACCTTTCTAATWCTGCTCATTTTAGCCACTTGTGATTATAGTTTTATGTAACTCTGACCTGATTAGGCAACCCTCTGATCAGAGTCTTGAGTTAACAAAAATAAATGCTTGAATATTAGYCATTTTCATTTTTCTTGTTGTGAGAAGAGGGCCTTAAGCTCTACTTTTCAAATGAAGTCATTCAAATAATGTGCTGCATCAGGTAAGATATTTATTGTTCATAATCTTTAGACAGATCATCACTTCCGAAGATCCAAACCACGTGCCAAACTAATGGTCTGCAGGCCAAAATGTCCCTTGTCACCATTTTATATGGCCCCAAACATAATACTTTAAACATAWTTAACATTAATAATCCTATTAATTAAAAATTATTGGTTTCTGTTTTTATCTTGGAATTAGTGCAGTCTTCTCAACTAAGAAGAAATTAAGAAAATTAAGCTTGAATTTTACAATAATCCTTGATTTTGCTGTAAATCTACATTAATTATCATTTGCTAAACTCTTTACTTGTTTAAATGTTGAACTTTTTGATTTTTAGTGAAGTTTTTCTTTGTTTTTACCTGATTTGCTGGATTGTGATAAAACGTATCGCTAAGAATGAAAAAGGTGCATGTGAAGGAAGGCAAAAACAAACATACAAAAAAACGAATGATGTGTTTTTCTATAATATTTTTTCTTTACTTGTCAGGTTTTTTATGTTCTAAATGCTAYCAGGAACCAACCAGCTCTACATTTTGGAAAAAGATCATTTCGATTTCTATAAGAGTAAATATTTTTAATAAATGTTGACAGAAAGTGTCCCCTTGTTTGGATCAAGTCTTGAATGTGTCACTGAGTTTGACACCTTTGATCTATGGTATGCTTTGCTAAAATTATGAATAAAATAATATTTGCACCAAGAACAGCCTCAGAAGTTAAATCATTATTATTTTTTTATTAATCATATCTGGAAGAATATRTGCAGAAAGTTACACATTTGATAAAAACATGTCAACAATAAAAGAAGTCTTTACATGTTCTAATCTCAATATGATTTAGTTGAATTTCATGATTCTGATAATTATTCACTTTAAAGCACAAAAAGCCGCTGACTGACAGTCTGCTCAGATAAAAGCCAAGAAGTAATACAATCTGTATCCGAAAGATTTTATGATGTATGGGGATTTGTATTGTTCGTGCTGTTTAAAATTTACAACAGCAATTCTTCACGGATAGCGAGACAGTCACAGTTTAGTAAAGTTTTATTGCTCTCTACATTCTTGTTGTTGCCAACTTCTAAGTCAGTTATTCAGCAGATTCCTCTGGAAGCAATTCTGAGAAAAGAGCCTTGACAGTACGCATGAACTCCTGACATTTACAGACAAAAGAATGATTTGATTTGACTCTTGACTTGAAAAATGTATTTTTATCAGCTGTATGAAAACATATCCCATGTAACRGCAATGGAAGTCTAATTTAGACGTGTCGTTAAAAGGTTTATGGTTATTGTTATTRTGCTTTGACTGAGTCATCACTTCTGTTTTTATACAACAATAATTTCATCACCCAAAATGGAGCTGTACATGTGTTGCTTTATTTAAACAGTTACACCTTGCTATAAAACTGTCAGCGCTATTAATCTGAGGCAGAGATTATGCATAATGATCTCCCTTTGATTTGCACAGCTGCCCATTGTCTCATGTTACCCATGTATAGTGGCTGACCTCGAACGGAACATGTAACTGAGTGCTGTTCTTGATGATTTAGTGCAGGTGGGAAAGGAGGAGAAACTCAGAGGCTGTATCGTTGCRTTGATGCAAAGCAATTTTTGATTTGTTAGAATATAAAAGAGTTAGAATATCTTCTCCATAAACATTAAATCAATAATCTGGTGATTTTTGTAGTAATATTCTGTCAAATTGTTATAAATAGTCCTCATCAGCTGGGACAGGGGTGTCTAAACATTTAGTCACGTGGGCCAAAATCAAAAAATCAGAAAGACTTAAGAGTCAAAAATATGTTTCATTTACCTGCTCAATAATAAAATAATGATTAAATACTTTAATGAAACAAATAAAGTAGTCAGATGTATTGCTGGAAATGGATGTGTAAATTTATTGATCCAGAACTTTAAAAGAGTTTTGCAGGTTTTCCWTACTGAAAGAAATTTAGCAGTTTTCTATGAAYTGGAGAAAAAAAGAACCAATAGTCGATTCTGATCAATAAAATCAGGATTTAGGTCAACATTTCTTTGAAAATGCTTGCTGTRTTCAKACAAATTCAATAAATTAATTAAAAGCAGATTGGAGTAAAATCAGCTTTTCAGTAGAAGTCACTAGATAGATGTGGAAAAGCTAAGAGCCTGGTTATTTAAAGACAAATAAGTGGCGTTGTTGCCAATATGTGTTATTGGAAGATTTTACTTTGTGATCCTTTTGCTCTAATTAAAAATAGAAAGTGTCCACATCAAAACCCTGCAGGGTATAATTCTTGAACAGAAGTCAGGGGCCACACAAAATCAGTTTGGGGGCCACAAATGGCCCCTGGGCCACACTTTGGACACCCCTGAGCTAGGACATCAGTCAATATGGAGAAAAGAGCAGAAGTCCTTGTCTCGGCTAAGGAAGSCAAATAAGTTTTTGTTGTTGTTTTCCAGCCTATTGAAATAAGTCACAAAAACACAACTTACTGTTTTTATATGAATCTAGGAAAAACCCTAAACTTAACACAGTTTGACTGACAGAAAATAATATTTTTAACCAGCAATCAGCTGAAAGATGAAGCGTCTCTCAGGTCCCGTGTCAGGTATCATCTGGTTTTGTTTTCTCAATAAAGACAGAATGATCAAATATATGGAAAAATTCATTATTCTCCTGCTGAAAATATTCTTTTTTAATTTATTTTTTTAAGAATGACACTTCTTTTGTTTTTTACTCTTTCATTATTTTTTGAGCACACATTGTACAAAATGCTGGCATGGTTGGTCAAATATAGTTACTGTGGCTGAGAACCATTTATTTAAGTATCTCAAGCTGTAAATTTAAAAAGAAAAACACTGCAGAGCAACAAAAGAGGATTTCTTCAGTCTATGAGAAATATACAGAAGAGCTACAAATGAATTATTAAAGCAGCACTAAGAGATCAGCTCATCCATTAGCGCTGAATTTAAAACTTGGGAGGAAAATCTAAAATAAAATGCAGTTTTAAAAGATCGATCAGGAAGTCTTGAAGCTTATTTCAAAGGTGCTTTAAACTAGTTTTTGAAAATTCTCATGGAAGAGTCAATAAAAGKGAAATATTTGGCACACAGGAAGCAGCCCTCAGAAGTGAACTGCCTGATCATCGTTTCACCTGTAAGAAGACACTAAATGAGCTCAGTGTTGACTGTTAAAGCTGGTTTGTATGGGGCTTTTACACGAAGTGATGGATGGTACTGAAGAGAGTATTTTGAAGGACCRGAGGTCATACAGCACATTAACCCCTGAGGTCTGGTCTAATATGGCAACGCAGTGCAGCTAAAATAGATCCTCTGATCTAATGCAAAGCAAAATAGATCAGCAAACTTAGGTAAGAGCTCAGGCCAAGTGTGCAGCAAGAAACAGTTTTTAAAAAACGAACTAACATTAAAAAAAAAAACAGTAAGAAAATACAGAATGGGCAAAAAACTCAAATCAATTGAAGTTACACATAATAAATGTATTTTTAATTCAACAAATATTTAATCAACTGTTTCTCATAAAACATTCACACAGATGACTTATTAGCATGTTAGCATGTATGCAACACAGAAATAAAACATGTTCAGACAATTTATTTCAGGTAAAGTCAACTCCATTTTCATTCTACTCAACATGAGACAATATAGTCCAAACATAATAATAAATGTTGCCAAAAAATAAACAAAAGCTTGTTTATGAAACACTTTTCCAACACACAACAATACGTTGCATCACATCCTTTATTCACTTACAACACATTCAAAAGAACTAATTTCCAAAAACTAAATAAAAATATAAAAACAGGTGTTTTAAGTTAAGCTTTAGATCCGCTGAGATGCATATATTGCAGCTTTGCAACCGAGCTGTATCGCATTTTTTAACAGCCAGTATCCAGGTGCCTGAAACACACACACACACACACACAGAAATTTCTTAATCACAAATAATCTAAGATATTTATCAATAAAAGCTAACTTAAAAGCCCATGCAAGCAAAATGAGATTAGTCCTGCAGTTATAGAACTGCTTCTGTTAAATTTGTTTTATTAAATTATTGAAAATAAACTTACTGATTCAGCATCGTGCTCCAATCCTGCATCATGATGCTCCATCTCATCATCTCGAAACTCTTTTATCACCTATTGAAATGAAGTTACTAAGTAAGTTAGAACTTTTTGGTTTCTGTGAACTTCAGTAGCATGAGTTAGACAACTAAAATCACAAGACTTAGTTAATACTAAGCCCTTTTTTTTCCCAATTTTTTTCCATCAGTGGACAGTTTGAGGACTATAATATTGTTTCAATCTCTTTGTTAAAGTCACGTTGAACGCGCTTAATTTAGTTTTGAAAAACTAGCAAATAAGGTTTTAGTTTGTTTTCGTTTTGACTTCATCTAACTCAGAACAGTGAGTCTGCAAACAGTCACAGAGAAAACACACTTTCCATTAGAAGAAATTAGAACAACAACCTAACAGCTGTTACACAGCATCAATTAAAAAGAGTTTTGACAACGTTACCTGTAAGAGTTCAAGGTATCTGTCTGGGTCATTCTCCATCAGAGCTCTTATCTGGCTGTTGTAATGTTCTGAGATGCTCTCCTCCACAGCCACCGTGCACGCCATGGCCCCCTCCTTTCCCAGCAGGGCACTGGCGGCACCTGGGAGATGCATAAAGCAAACCAGAAACATTAATGGGAGCAGAGCATTTTAGTTCTTCTTTTTTGAATAAACTAGAAAATGGTTTTCACTGGATGCTAATAGGTTGTACCAACCTAAGACAAAGCCGGCGATGTTCCAGAAAGGTAGCAGGGCTGTTGGCCGAACTCTGTTCTCGGCAAGAATTTCATTGAATTTGGCTAAGTGCTTCTTTTCTTGATCCCACATTTGCTGCAGAAACAGAAACAAGTTAAACATTGCAACACTGCCAAAGYAAACCTATATGTTTTCTTTTTTCTCTTTAACGTGCAGATACAATATATTGGTCACTTAGCTCACCTCTTCATTCTGTTTTGTTCTATTGATAAAACCTTTTTCATTGTGTTGTCAATAGTTCTTTATCACTGCCTCCCTCTGTCCAGTGCATACAAATGTCTAAATGGAAGTGTGAGCAGCACAGATGGAGAAAAGCATTGCCTTAAAGACCAAATGGCTTCACTTTAATAAACTGATGAAGCCATTRATTTATCTCAAGTGATCAATTTTTCCAAATTTTTTACAGCTCAATACAACTGGTGAATTTAAGAGATTTCCACCAGCATCACACAAGCAGAAAACAGTTACATCAGTTACCAGTCATAGTAATTTCTGCATGTTTAATTGTTTTGAAATAAGCTTTTCATTTCAAATAATTGTCTAGTGCATCTTATACAAATTATTATACTCCTGAGATGAAACAGATAGAACTTGAAGCCACGTGTTTTCCATACTTGGATGAGAGGTCCGGTTCTTGACCGACCCAACACCGCCATCTGTCCGGCGTAGATGCGATTAGCGCCGTATTCACCCGCGTGGTCCACGCGCAGCATCCGGTGCACCGCCTCCTTCTCCTCGTCGTCCCGAGGAGGTGGAACGATACTGTAAGCACGACAGCTGTACTGAAGAAGGCCTGAACAAACAACATAAAACAAAATAAGAATTAAAAAATACACGATAAGTCCACAGCGCCTAAGCTTTGCCCTAACCGGAAGATAAAGTGAAACTTTTGTAAACAAAGCAACAGTGAAAGCTTTCACATTATAAACATACGACATACCTGTCTTTTACTCCAAACACATTTAAAATACAAAAAACGTGCAAATTTTAAGTTTATCTAAAGAAGTCCTGACAAATTTCACCCAGTTAAAAGTTAAGTTCATAAGTATTGGAGATTCGTAAGTGTTTTTAGCATTTTAGCATCATTAGCTACAGGCTAACCAATAAAAAGCTTACCTCTGCATTTTAAACTATGGCGGATCCTCACCGAGTTAACAACCCGAGGCCAGTTAGAAGAAGCTGTGTGTGCAGCTCTCTGCATGGTAAAACATTTAAAGATTTTACGACCAGCGCTGCAAAAGAAAGAAATGTGTTTCAGAAGCTGACATTGAACGTAGGAGGGTAAACGTCGCGCGTAATTATGACGTACTCACGTGGCTCCGCCTCTTCTAAGTCAGAATAAAGGTATGGCAAACCAATGTATCATCTATTCCAACAACGCTCCTTGTTTTTTATTTTTTATTGTTTGTTTGTTTTTTTACTTTTTTGTAATTACTGCAGACTTAATCAATTTTTTCTTGTTTCATTCAGTATTTGAATGAAAATTTAACACCTTTTTGTATTTAAAAGTAGCCTAAGTATGCTGAGCAAGCAGTCACATTTTCTAATTTAAACACAGGGAAACGTGAGTTCTTTTAAATGTTTTGTCAGCATTTCTACTTGGACTAATAACAGCACGTACACGCTACAGGCTATGGGAATATCAATTAAATGTGTTGTGGCACATTTGCAAGAAGGTGTACATGCAGTAGAACAAATTTAATATTAAATCTATATTAAACTACCTTGGGAAAAGCATGCTTAAGTGCTGCTGAACAGGTTAATGGGGTCAGCATCCCATGGTCAAACCGCATGTCTGCTGTTACAGAAATAAACACAAACAGAGCCACAGTTAACACAGTTCACTCGGCCCACTGCATGTTTGGGCYGTCAGAGAAAAACAAGTATTTAAAGAAGTAAAGTAAATAGAGAGAAYGACTTTTGGCTGGACACTTTTTTGTTTTTCTGCACCAAAAAAATGATGATTTCTTTTGTTTCGACTTATTAAATAAGAAGCAATTAAGCACAGAAAATAAGGTCATGTGTACGGTGATGAAAGTTGTCTTGGAGGTCTAAAGATGGCAGTGTTGCACAAATAAAAGAGGCTGTAGGAAATTTTATCCTGAAAACTTCTGAAGTTTAGAGTTGCTATAAATATAAGACACTGCGATAAGTGTTTATTTTTTAATTATATAAACTAATATGTATAAAAATATTTCTTACACCTGCAACCTCAGGTGACGTTACATAATGTCGGATTTCTGCTTCTGATGATTAAAAATAAATCCCTTTTACTCACCATTTAAAATAGTTTGAGAGCAAAAAAAATGTGAAAAGATGAGGCTGACTGCTGCAGACCCATGATGGTCATGAGTAAACAAGGCCAAGGCTGTGAACGGCAGGGTGCGTTGGGTTTGTCTGCGTGTGTTAGTGGTGAGACACCGGAAATGTGCTTCCCTATCTGTCTGGCTGACTGTGGCTTTGGGCTCACATCAGCACATGTGGGCTGCTTTTGTCACTTGGTGTGAGTGTTTGTCAGTCTCAGGTGTGAGAGGAGAGATTTATAACCTACTGAGGTGAACAGCAAGTCTCTGGGAATCCATTGGGATGGAGAAGATTCTATTGTTCTTTTCTATCTTTTAAATCCGTCTTTTTCACATTTAAATCTTTCAGTCTTTGTAAAGTATAACTGCAATGCTTTGGTCTGAGTTCCTCCTTTTTATAACTCCACAAGCCCCTCTTTTAYCCATTTTTCTGAGGTGTATCTCAGATCAAACTCATTTTGAGGCTGTCTCTTWAAATCCAAACAAGGCGCTTCACACCCCACCCCCTCCAGTTTCCAGAGCGGTTCATTTAGTTTKATAGARGGATTTATGACTATATAGCTGCGCAGAAACTTTTGATTACAAATGAATTAAAAGATGTCAACAGGGGGAGACTTGTCCATCCAGCCTTACATGTTGGAGCCARAGTCTGACYCAGAACCAGAGGAGGATGAAGACCACCAAATTGTAAAAAGTAAGTCCAGACCRTTTTTGGCAGGTCCATCACAAGTGTTTTGATGTAATWGTTCAGAAAATAGAGAAAATTGGACAGGTTGAAAAGTTTGACTCAAACAGAATATCAAGCCACATCTACACATCACAGAGGGGGACTAAATACAAATTTTCTACTCTCCTAGACTCTGAGTACACAACAAAATGTAAAAGTTAAAAAAKGGGATTTTGCATGAAATGTCCCCTTTAACAAAGCTTACCTTGAAGAAATGTATATTCAGACTGTATGTCTGCAGAACCAGATCCCATTACCTCACAGGAATGGCTCCTCCACCTCAACAGGACATCAGAAGTGCCACAAACACATCGCAGACCGTCATCCGCAGCTTCGTTCCGTCACAGCCCTGCCATCTGGAAAGCTATGAAGTGTGAAATACAACAGCAAAATGTTCAGACAGTCCCTTCCTCAAGCTTTAAGACAATTTAAAAATCCTGTTGTTGCTATTTATCATTGCTTTGCATTCATTCACATGGTTTTCAAACTCAGTAAAGTTAATCTCTTTGTATTATTGTTCTTTTTTTATCACAAACCTTTATTTAAAGGGACAATAGTATGTGCTTCTCAGGTATACATTWAAATACTATACCATAATAAAGTATCTATGTTACCTCTAGTTGTTATTAAAATGCTGTTTTTATGTTTAAATAGAAAATAAACTTATCTTCTCATCACTTCCTCTTCTAAACGCCTTGAAATTGGCCTCTGTCTCTTTAAGAACCWCCTTCYRCTTYTGTCCTGCCCATTTSAGYGCGCAGGGKTGGGGGTCGCGAGTGTGAGGGGGAGGGGGGTGCCATCACTCAATTCACTTGACATCTGAAAATACATTTCCTCAAAGGTATTTTTAATCTGAACAGAGCTTCACTGAGTGAGAAGTGTTAGGAGCTCAGCAGACAGTTTCAGTTTCAGTTTCAGTTACACCCGAGAGCCTGCAGAGGTCATGGGCGGGGTGTGTGTGTGTGTGTGTGTGTGT